TTGTATATCTTAGGAAAATCTGAAAGTTACTCACAGGTAAAAGACAACTGAAGAAAGCAATCTATTGCTTTCAATGGAACATTGGAGTTCCTAACCGGGCTTTTGTTCTTGAGATAAGGTTTGCTTTGTAGTCCAGACTGACCTCAAATTTGCAATCTTCTTGATTCAGCTCCTGTGTGGCTTACCTGAATATTTATTTGTATTCTCCAGGTAGTTACTGTTGCCCTTCGATGCCCAAGTGGGCGTGTTTTGAGGAGGAGATTTTTCAAGTCTTGGAATTCACAGGTGAGGAAATCAAATATTGACTTATCAAATTTGTCAATAGTGTGTTCAAATGTAGTGGGATCTGTTATCACATAGACAATGTGGATATTCTGCATTGCGTAAGGTTTGATAATTTCTTTGAATTGTGATCTCTACATTTGTATTTTTTTCCTATTTTTTTCTTCCTTTTTAGTGTTAAGGATAGTCTTCCTCTGTCCCACGGCCAGCTCCCAAATAAACAACATGGAGACTTAATAACAATAAAGCTTCAGCTGATAGGCTTGTTACTAACTAGCTCTTACAACTGAAATTAACCCATTTTTACCAATCTACGTTTTGTCTTTATTGCCTTTACTCTGTACTGCCCATACTGCTTCCTCTGTGTCTGGTGACTCTGCTTCTTCCCAGCATCCTGTGTGCCTGGAAATCCTGCCTAACTATTAGCCATTCAGCTTTTTATTAACCCAATCAGAATGTCACATCTTTAGTGTACAAAAAGATTTTCCACAACACAATAGATCTAAGGCTTCAAGCAGGCATTCTCTTACTGAGCTATATTTCCTTGGTTGTTTAATTACATGTTAGTTCGTGGGGAAAATGGTGGTTTTAAGCCCAGGGTAGCCTAGAACTCACCGTGTAGTCAAGGCTGGACTGAGCTGTGTCAGCTTCCCAAATGCTTGGATTGCAGGCAATGAGATACTACACCTGGCAGCCTGTTTTAAAAATAGTTATACTGGGGCTGGAGAGATGGCTCAGACGTTAAGAGCACTGTCTGCTCTTCCGGAGGTCCTGAGTTCAATTCCCAGCAACTGGCTCCAAACCATCTATAAAGAGATCTGGCGCCCTCCTTTGGCGTGTGGAGGCAGAAAATTGTATACATAATAAATAAATTAAAAATAAATAAATAAATAAAAATAGTTATACTGGGGCTGCAGGTATAAGAGTGCAGTCCTCCTACCTCGGGGGTTATGCATATGACACCTGGAAGGATTGGGTTTGGAGCCAGTTAGACCCTGACTCAGAACCACCACCAACAGAAAGAGGTTTTTGTTTGTTTTTTGAGACATGGTTTCTCTGTAGCCCTGGCTGTCCTGGAATTTACTTTGTAGTCCAGGCTGACCTCAAACTCTCGGAGATCTACCTGCCTCTGCCTCCCAAGTGCTGGCATTAAAGGCGTGTGCCACCATGCCTGGCAGAAAGATGTAATGTTGGAGGTGTAAACTTAGTCGCAGAGCGAGTGCTTAACATGTGCAAAAGACGTGGGTTCAATTCCTACACTTCTAAAAATGTCTTAATTAAAATTATTACATATTATATAGATCAGCAGTGGTTAGCAATTCAAGGCATTATTTGATACTTTGGTCCCTTGGAACATTATATCTTTGTCATGTGTCTGTTTTTTGTTGTTGAGACACAGGCTGGTCTCAATCCCCGTAACTTTTGGCTCCTGTAGTCCTCCAGCTACAGTTTGAGTAGCTGGGACTACAGCTGTATAGAAATACATCCAACTTATTTTTCTTTTCAAAGCAGAACATGCTTTAACAGTTCATGTTTTGAGGCAAATGAGCTTTCAAAAGGATCTGAAAATTTTTTTTTTAAATTTATTTATTTATTAAAGATTTCTGTCTCTTCCCAGCCACTGCCTCCCATTTCCCTCCCCCTCCCCTAATTACGTCCCCCCCCCCCCAGCCCGAAAAGCAATCAGGGTTCCCTGTCCTGTGGGAAGTCCAAGGAACCCCCCACCTCCATCCAGGTCTAGTAAGTTGAGCATCCAAACTGCCTAGGCTCCCACAAAGCCAGTACGTGCAGTAGGATCAGAAACCCAGTGCCATTGTTCTTGAGTTCTCAGTAGTCCTCATTGTCCGTTATGTTTAGAGAGTCCGGTTTTATCCCAGGCTTTTCCAGACCCAGGCCAGCTGGTCTTGGTGAGTTCCCAGTAGAACATCCCCATTGTCTAAGTGTGTGGGTGCACCCCTCATGGTCCTGAGTTCCTTACTCGTGCTCTCTCTCCTTCTGCTCCTGATTTGAACCTTGAGAATTCAGTCCTGTGCTCCAATGTGGGTCTCTGTCTCTGTCTCCTTTCATCGCTTGCTAGGATCTGAAAATTTTTATGCCTACTTTTTTCTTTTTTGTGGTGCTGGACTTTGAACCCAGTGTGTAGATGGTAATCTTTATGGACAGTTACAGGAATGGCCTACAGTAAGTTGGGCTTTGTCTTAGGGGCCCAAGTACGTCTCTTTTGACAAAGCTCCTTTGTGATTCTGTTGACTTAGATTTTGATTCAAATTTTTGTTTCCAAATGTTTTTTGTTCTCAACATTTCATTGAAGTCTCCATCCCCTACTTAGGGATGAGGCTCTGTTGGTAGGCCTGCACTCTCTCTCAAATGAAGGCATTCAAGGTTATTCATGTCTCCAAATGCATGGCATACTGCTCTTCCTTAAAGTCTAGACGGTTTCTTTGAAGATGTGGAAAGTACTTCTGATTCCTTGGGACATGATTACAGAGTGACAACTGTTTAATGTCATAATGAGACAGATTCTGTAGGAACCTTTAGTCTAATACTAAAGTCTTTTTTCTTCTAGGTCTTATTTGACTGGATGATGAAAATTGGGTACCACAAATCCCTATACAGCCTTTCCACTTCCTTTCCCAGACGACCTCTGGAAGCGGACGGAGGCTTGTCATTGGAGGACATAGGGATAACTGTGGACACTGTACTTAATGTGGAAGAGAAAGAACAGAGTGGCCAGTAAAATCAGAACTACCTGTTGTCCGTCGAGTCGTATGACCTCACCGGCAGCGTTCACATTAAAGCCATGCTGTACGTTGTGCTCCTCTTGTTCATAGGAGCATACCTACATACAATGGAAGAGGATTGCTTGATATGGAAAGCTTTGTGGACTGTACCATCTTACAGTGTACCCAAGTGAGAACAAGGTAAAAAGGATGCAAGACATCTGACAGGTCTGGGCCAGGCAAGGGGGCACATGCCTCCTGGAAAGTCTGAATTAGACCGTCTTAAAACAAACCAACTAGCTGATAAAGAACTGTGTTTCTGCTTCTTGAATCTACAGTATTTAACAATTCAGCCAAACCCTTCAAATCTTCAAGTAGGAATACTGATTCCACTGTATTTCTAAAAACTTAAAAAAAAAGATTTTAAAGAAATTTCAGAGTGGACTGATTCTGTGTAGTTTTGACCTAAATCTGAGGGTGAAGTTTTTGCCACAGGAACTTTGGGGACACACTGAAACTGCAGTAAGCATGGTCACTGTTGGTCAGTGCATTTTGTGGGAACACACTTTTACTGGAAGTCAGAGTTTGAGCTTATTTTTGCTCTCAAAGTTTTTGACTACAAGCTAGAGATTCTGACCAATTAGTATTTTGGATGTAGAGGTGAATCTGCTCCACCTGGACCAAAGGTCGGAGAATTCAAGTCTCCTTCTATCATGTTAATAAAGTCTGTTGCCCCTCCTCCTCCTTTTGGAGTGAAGTATATAAGCATGTAGAAAATAAACGAGGCGGATTCAGTATTCTGTTTGTCTTTTATATCTCTCTTCCTTTTACTTAATAACCCTAATCCTCATGCTCTTACCCTGGAATGCATGAGAAGCGGGTCTTTGACAGTACCTGGAGTGTGAGCTGTTGTATGCACCGATACCCTTAGAGTCTGTTTTCAGAGATCTCTCTTTCTTTCTTTTTTTGGTTTTTCGAGACAGGGTTTCTCTGTGGCTTTGGAGCCTGTCCTGGAACTAGCTCTTGTAGACCAGGCTGGTTTCGAACTCAGAGATCCGCCTGCCTCTGCCTCCTGAGTGCTGGGATTAAAGGCGTGCGCCACCACGGTCCGGCTTCAGAGATCTTTCTTAACCTTTGATATTTTGGAGATGGGGTCTCATAGAGTCCGGGGTGATCTTGAACTCTCCTGGATCCTCCTGTCCCCCATCCCAAGTGTTAGGATTACAGGCCTAAACCACTGCTCCCAGTTTATGAAGTGGTAGGATTTCATTATGCCCAGCAAAGTCTATATCAACTACATTCCAGCCCCATATTTCCTATCTTTCAATTTCCAAGCTACCCAAGTCTTTGCTTTTGGCGTTTGTCTTAATCACTCTACAGCTAGATTTAGAGAGGCTAGAGCTTGTATTCATGACCTTGGAATAGTAACCATCACTGCTGATCTGAACTCAGATCAGTTCATTACTATTTCTAGGTTAAGGGAGATCCAGATAACCTGTCTTGGCTTTTAAAGTTTCTTGTTTATTTAGTCTATCGTTATTAAAGCAGACAGTCCAAATTTTGTACTTAAAATTATGAACAAATCAACACAAACCACCCAATGAAATGTTTAGAAATGTAAAAAATGGCTCTTTAATGGTCTAAAAGTTATCAACAAATATTCGATTTTGTTCTGCTTCTAAATGTAAACTATAAACAAACATTGTATAACCTGGACCTGAATATAAGGAAGGCCTGCAGTGAGCACCCGTAAACTCAGAAGTATAGCTGCTTCTTTTTATTACACATCAGATGTCTGTGGCACAGCAGGTGCCCCACACTGTAATCCTAGCACTCGGGAGGTAGAGTCAGGAGAACCAAGAGCTCAAGCTCATCTGGACTATATGAGACCATCTCAAAAGCCCAAAGTAAATGAAATAAACCACCAACCACAGTCTTGAGTATTTGTATCAAGTTTTAAAATGCAGTGCTTCCATTTAATGCATACCACAGTTAATGTTTTTGTTTAAATTGGAAAGTTTATTTGTTTAGTCCACCAAATAGGATGCAAGCACTGTCAGGACAAATACACAGAAACAATGCCGATCAACATCAAACAGTAATTTAGTTTAAATGACAACATACTCCCAAGAATCTCTTCTTCAGTTAGTAGACATTTCAATAAAATAAAGGGTAATGAATTAAGTGGAAGTCAGCTTGTGAAATCTTAAAAATAAAACTCTGACTCTATTAATCCATGCCAGTTAAACAATGTAACTAAATTTCCAAGTGCAAAGGAGATGAAGCAGTCAGTGACCCTTTTTGTTTAACCAGCCAAAAAGAATGCTTCCTAGGACACAGCAGGCAGACTGATCTAGAACAAATTGTGCTAAACGCTCATCATTAGTATGTATGGCACATTTGGTCCATGATGTAGTTTAATGTCAAGACATACCACAATTTGTTACAGAAACACATAGATAACTATTGTTTTTAAATATATATATATGTATATATATATTTTAAAAAGCCAGGTATACTTCCACATACAAAGAAAGGTCCTGGGGAGGAATTTATAGGAAGTAGTCTGGGGTACGCCGGGTCACATGAGGCTCTCCACGACGAGGTGCTGGGTCAAACTGAAGACTAAACAGAGAAAGTGAGTCAGCAGGTAAGCCAGGAGACACTGAGTGGACAAAGCCATCCTTCCTGCACCCTTCTGCTATCACTGCACTCCGTGTGGCTGCAATGACCCTGAGTGTGTCACTTTACAGAGCTCTGGTGACACTTAGTGGCTGTTAGTGCCTGGCAGAAAAGCCTTGTGACGCCATTATCAGTTGAAGGGCCTAGGATCAGTGCTGTTTCTCGCCGTCACGATGCTGAATCAGGGTATTTACACCTGTCTTCAGGCACAGCAAGTTTCCTTCTGTGAGGTTTGCTGATTTTAGTCAAAAGAACACTAAATTTTATCAAGTGCCTTTTCTGTCTGTTAAAATTACCAGTTCCTTGCCGGGCAGTGGTGGCACACGCCTTTAATCCCAGCACTTGGGAGGCAGAGGCAGGCGGATCTCTGTGAGTTCGAGACCAGCCTGGTCTACAAGAGCTAGTTCCAGGACAGGCTCCAAAACCACAGAGAAACCCTGTCTCGAAAAATGAAAAAAAAAAAAAATTACCAGTTCCTTTTCCTATTTTTTTTTGGGGGGGGAGTCCATTTTCATATTTTGAACCAACTCTGTGGTCTTGGGATCAATCCCATTTGAATTTTCCTTCTCCAAGCAGTCCTGAGAGGATGTAACCTCAGGCATGCACACAGACTTCACAACTGTCAAGGTAAGTATTTATTTTCGATTTTTGGTGCTGTGGTTGAGACCAGATCTCATGTAGCCTGGAATGGCCCCAAACTCAACAGTAACGGTTCATTCTGACCTTCTGATCTGTGCCTCTACTTTCTAAGCACCGGGATCACAGGCAAGCAGGTGTCATCATGTGGAGCAAATGTTTTATTTAGTCACAAAAAGTTTTTTGAAACAAGGTCTCATGTATCCCAGGTTGGCCTGAACTCTGACTGGTCTGCTTCCATCTCCTGAGACTGGGATTACAGAGCTGTATCACCATGGCCAGTTTATATAGTCCTGGGCTTGAACCCAGGGGCCAATGGAGCCACATCACCTCGTAGTTTTTAAACTTTTAAAATAAGTCATCTTTAATTTCGTGCTATGAGTGCCAGTGCTCAAAGACGTCAAAGGAGGGGTCCCTTGGAACTGGAATTACAGATGGCCGTGAGCTGCCATGTAGGTGCTGGGACTTAAATTTGCGTCTTCTGAAGGGCAGCCTGTGCTCCTAACCACCTAGTCATCCCTTCTGACCCTGGAGTAGTCTCTGTAAGAGTCGTGGGAGTAGGGGAAGGATGCAAGCCTCCAGTAGTTATGACAGACAGGTTTCTGTTTGTCTGGGTGTTAATGTGTTTTTCTGAGACAAGGTATCTGTATGTAGTCCTGGCTGTCCTAGAATTCACAGCTTAGACCAGACTGGTCTCAAACTCTTGCTTCCTGTGTGCTAGAATTAAATATGTACTCTACCATGCCTGGCTTAAGGTTCTCTTAAGGTTAAATGTTTTTCCATTACCTGTACACTCTTGGGAAATTTTCACCAAATTTTAAATAATTACAAATTATTTTTCTGGGCTGGGATATAGTTCAGTAGCGCAGCAATGAACTGGTATGTGTGAGGCCATGACTGTGTGCCGAGCACAACAGAAGGAAATAATTCATCACATTAAATGTTTGGAGAAGAGGGTTTACACACAAAGAGAAAAAAATCTTTGTTCAATCATCTCATAAACAGAACTCTTCAATGTTTTTCATTCTAAAAAGATATTTTTATTCATGCGTGCATGTGTGTGTATGACCCAGTGTGTGTAGATGTGTGTATGTATCTAGAGAGGCCAGGAGAGGCTGTTGGATCCCTTGGAACTGGAGTTAAAGGTATCTGTGGGATCTGAATTCCAGTCCTCGTGACTGTAGCAAGAGCTCTGAGCTGCTGAGCCAGCTCTCCAGCCCCCCCCCCAACTGTTTTCAATAGTTCCTTTTTCCTTCTAAAAGTAATTATACACAATTAAAATGTATAGTTACTTACAAAGAATATTTTAAAGTGTCATCTAATTCCATGATAGCAGCCTGATTTCCACAGCGGTAGCAGTAATTGGGCGCACTAAAAATGGTAACCACATTCCGATCATGGCACCAATTATAACCCTGCAACAGTGAGAAAGGTCAATGTTTCATTACAGAATTCAAGCTTGACACAACAACACACAAGTACTTCTGTGGCTATGTAGTCAAGTTACCTTCTATGATCTGACAGTTTATATACCTGCTCAGAATACTGGAACTTTTCTTAACCTACACTTCAGATGTGTGTGTATGTGTGTGTGTGTGTGTGTGTGAGAGAGAGAGAGAGAGAGAGAGAGAGAGAGAGAGAGAATTTTGCTGTTTAATAGGTCACAGTAGTCTCAAACTTACATCTGCCCTAGCTTTCCAAGTGCTTAGATATGACAGAAACTACCTGGCTTACAAAGTCTGCTACATAAATCTTGAACAACTTAAAGTAAGCTTCTGAAGAGCTGAGCCAATCATTAGTAATGGCCTCGCTAATCTCTAACAATTACCTGCACCAAAGCCTCTCACATCACATCACAACTGAAATTTGATTATCTTCAAATTTCCTAGTCTCCAACTTTTAGGAAAGTAAAAGTCTTTTAGCAAAGTAAAAGTCATTACTTTAAAAAAAATACATCATCCAGTCACCATGACATACATGATGCTATAATAATGAGGTTTAATATCACTACATGGACACTGCTCCTTGCCTGTTCTGGGCTGGCCATTCCTTGCTGGTTTAGAGGGATCATGTATGTTCTCTTTTGTTCTGTCAGTAGTGACAATACTACAACTCAAGCTGCGGCAGGTGCTGCCTCAACTCAGTGATCAGTTATTAGGACCAGCAGGGGACAGATTTTAAACCTCCTTGATGCAATGCACCAAGGATGCATCACTCTGCAGTATGCATCTCAAGCATGCATGTACTAAATCCACAGTCCTAAGGAACACCTGTCAAGTCTCCACCGAGGATTCTCTAGAAGAGAAGAGTGTGCTCTTATCTGCTGAACCATCTCTCTCTCTCTCCAGCCCCTACCAAGGGGTTATTTAAGGGTGTCTTCTTATACAGCCTACACAGGCCTGAAACTCATGACCCCCTCTGCTTTGGCCTCCTAAATATTGGGACTACAAGCATCCACCATGCCCAGATTTAGAAAACCATTTCTTATAAAACAAAACTTTGGTCACTTCCAAACATCAAGAACACATAAAGAAAATCTGAAGAATTACTTCCACTTGTAACCTGGATTGTTATACACACTGTAAAAATTAAACTTTGTTACAATCTGTCAAGTATTTAGGCAGGAAACATTCTGAAACCAATGGAGACATTCTGACTGAAATACGGGTTACAACAGAAAATGGCTTTAGCAGAACAGACATGGAGATTTGGGGTAAGGAGCTAGTCAAATCAAGAGTGGGGAGAGAGGAGAAAAAATGAGAAAGATACTTAGGCCTCATTACAAATGCACAGAACCATGAGATAAAGGCATTCTGCAGGAAAGTACATACTTCCATTACAAGCTGGTGAGCGCGAGACACCAGTGTGAGACCGTTGGCGTGGTTAAATGTTTCAGAAATATCTTGTCCAAAGGTATAGCCAGCACCACGTGGTGAAATGCCCCATCCACCACGGTCATCTGGATCTGACCATAAGAGATCACACATTGGGCCCTGGTCAAGGAGAACAGATACGCATTATGAATTATTAACAGTTATGTTTAGCTTTATCACATGTAATTACATTATCTTGTTAAAATCAAAACAAAACCACCACCAAATTTACCTCATGTGGAACTTCTTGTAAACGATCCAGGGCTCTTATATGATCCAGTGTATCTATGGATGGAGACAGGCCACCATGGAGGCAGAATATCTGTTTATAAATTAATGAGGAGTAAGTAGTGGCTGTGTTAGCCCTGACAGCTCCCCCGTCCGCTCCTGCTGCCCCCCAAAATAGCATTAACTGAAAAACTTGTCAATTACAGCGCAAAGTAGACTCAGACCACCAGCAACAGCCTCAACAGTACTGTGAGTGGGGGTTTCCTTTTCTCCCCTCGTGGTACCAGGGCTCTGAGGGCCTTCTGCAGGCTCTACTACTGCTCCAGTTCAGCTGCCTCACCCCAGCTTTATTCAGTGCTGCTGCTAAGTAGGATCCTCACCCTCATCACCTGTCACTGGGTTCTGTCATGTACTCCTGATTATAAAATTCTGTTTGATTCAGACATCACGCCTTACTGATTCCTGTTATTGATTACAATAGGTTTTTAGTTTTCCTGAGACTGAGTACATCACCACATTTGCAGGTTATTTTCTATACAGTTTATCATCTTCAATTCCTTTTTATGTGTGTGGGGCACATCTAATAGAGGGGACAACCTTTGGGAGTCTGTTCTCTCCTTGCACGCTATATATTGAGCCAGCTTTCCTGCCCACTATTCCTGTTAACTGTATGTAGTACGCATGGATATGCAGGTCTACAGATGAGTGGGTGTGTGCACACATATATGTAAGGCCTAGGGTTGGTACCGGATGTCTTTCTTTATCACTCTCCATGACTGTGGCAGGTCTTGAGGCCTGCTTAGTTGGCTACGTAGCTAGCTTGCCTTGGGAATCTCATCCCAGGGTGAGGGATCACAGGTGGGCACTGTGCCCCATGGGTGCTGGGATCTGAACTCTAGTCTTCGTGTTTGCAAAACAAGTACTTTATCTGTTTATAAATTAAGAAGAAAATGTTTACCCACTGGGCCTCCCTGTGGTCTTTCTTCAGTTCCTTGACTATAGGCAGTGCACTTCTAGGACTTCTGACATAAAAGGACAAGTGTTTTTAAAAAACTTTTCTCAGGACTATCCTCTGAAGACTGAATCAAAGAGAATAATGACAATTTTAGTAACAGTTTCTCATTTATTAACTGACAGGGTCATGCTATGTATGTAGCCCAGGCTGGCTTAAAAGTCATCAGTTCTGCTTGAAGCCCTAGACGCTAGGGTTCTAGGTCTACACGCTGCACCCAGCCCTACACACGGCATCCAGCCCTCTCTCTTGGTTTACAAGCTGCTTCCTTCCAGGACTCTGTGAGCCTGCTTGGTTATCTACTTCATTTCTGAGGAGCTCATGTCCTCCAGATAACACTTCATAAATGATAACCTGTCATAATGGTGTGTATGTGCTGGGTGTTTTGTTTCTTATAATACTTTAAAACAGCAAAGACTGAGTTTGGGAACTGCTGGTTGGTGTACGAAATTTATTAAGAGTTCTAACATTGTATGCATGAAGTTTCAAAACCAGATACACTATCGCTACTACTATCTAAAATAGCTTGTTTATTACTTTAAGGCTAATAAAGACTATTGCTTGAAAAATTTAAATTTTAGCCGGGTAGTGATGTTGCATGCCTTTAATCCCAGCACTTGGGAGGCAGAGGCAGGTGGATCTCTGTGAGTTCGTGGTCAGCCTAGTCTACAGAGCGAGTTCCAGGACAGGCACCAAAGTTACACAGAGAAACCCTGTCTTGAAAAACAAACAAAAATAAAAAACAAAACAACAAACAAAAACAATTAAATTTTAATTAAAATCTAACACCTTATAAATTCACACTTTCATTGACGTTAGCAAGGCAAGTATTGTCATTTTAATTATTGCAGTATCCAAAATCATGGCTGGGAAAATGTAGACTGTTATAATCAAATTATATTCAAGCCAGCAAGCCAAAAAGTATCTATTACACCTTCCAGGACACTGGGTTTCTATCATTTAAACACTGCATTGTCTTACTGTATGTTCTATATCTGGATCTGAATCAGCTCGCCATGAATCCTCTAAACATTGAAATGGGAAACCTGTCTAATGTCTTATGTATGCTTCAGTACTTACTATGGTGGAAACAGAGTAAGTACCCTTTGATAAATAAGATACACAATATGATACTTGTAGTTACTATGAAAATAACATGGGAATGAGAAGTTGCTAACGATAACCAGGAAACAGTGTAATATGGACACAATTTCCAAATACATCTCGTGTGACTCATTACTATACACACCCAGAAACTTAGGCATTTATCTATGCTATCCTCACACTGGCCAGAAGACTTTTGGGCCAGGGAAAGCAGGGCCTGGTGTTCCAGCAACTTGGGAGCCCAAGGCAAGAGAATTACTGTATCAAGCTGTGTTGGGCACAGTGAGCCTCGGTAGCTTTGTGAGATGCCTCCAAAACACGCATACCCCCACCCCAAAGAAATCAGACTAACCAAACCACAGGGCTGTGTTTCAGTGTCAGGGCACTTGCCTAGCATGCACTAGACTCCAGACCCCAGGTTCAACCCCCAGCACTGTATAAACAAACAAACAAGAAAGCCAGAAACTTTTACATAGCTTGTAAATACAGATCCTGAGTGCCTAATAGTACTTCCCCATGTTTAACCTCCTTCTGTAAGACAGTCAGACACACACACACCTGTCCATCCACTAAAGCTGTAAGTGGAAGATAGTCGAAGAGATCTGTAAAGTATTTCCACACGTTGGCATTCCCATACTTTCGCAGACATTCATCATAAAAGCCATACACTTGGGTGATCTGTCGGCTTTCATGATTTCCTCGCAATATTGTAATGCGCTCTGGATAGCGCACCTGGAAAAGAAACCCGTGTACAATCATTTCTTAGCAGTATTAAATTAGTTTTAACCTCAAATTCATTTCCTTAAATAGTTCTCCTGTCCATTTGTAAATTAACTGCCAAATTTAAGGACAGGTATGTAAGATATATATGAACCAAGTGCATTTATACTTAGGTTTGGGTCCCCTACTCCAGACATCTCATTATGAATATATAAATTTTCTGAAGTCCAAAAATCCCAAGCATTTGTTGAACCTGGGCAGGAGTATGAGGAGAAGTAGCTAGTGTAATCTTGTGGGGAAATGGGATAAAGAAAGCACTCGAGAGTCTAGAGCAATGGACAGACATCCTCTGAGGTGAGCAGTCTGTGTTATCAACAGTGCACGTCAGTTCAGAGCGACAGACTGTAAGTGAGGCCTTGAGGAAGACCCTGGGGATGTGGAAGTCACAAGCTAGAACACACATGCTAAATGAGTAAACTGCATCTGGCAGAAGAGCAGGGTGAATGAGGGAGACGGAGGTGCTGAGTGCAGGGCAGTAGAAACAGGAAGTCAAGGAACAATGGCATGAATCACATACAGACTTGCTTAATGATTCCATAGGAAGGCCAGTAAGGGATTAAATCAAACATAATTCATAGAATTCAATTATGGACAACCCAAATGAGTTATACATTTAATAGAAGTCATCAAGTTTAATGCATTGATTTTTATCTCCCTTTAAAAGATGTAAAGCCAACTATTACTTAAGCTGAGCAGATCAGAAATTAAATGACAATACATGCCTAACATTCTTACCCTTGGCCCAATTTAAACCTCCCCTTACCCATTTTCATCAATCATACCTTTAATGCTACAAGCAGAGTCACAGTCTCCACAGAATAATAACCTCTGTCTACGTAGTCACCCATGAATAGATAGTTTGTATCTGGTGACTTCCCACCAATCCTGAAGAGTTCCATAAGGTCATGGAACTGGCCATGCACGTCTCCACAGACAGTAACAGGACAGCGGACCTCTTGTACATTTGATTCTTTTGTTAAAATTTCCTTAGCCTGTTGCAAAAGGAAAACCGACAATGAAAAAGATTCAGTTACACAGTTAACAGTATTTTTACCTATACTGAAAGAAAATCTGGAGAAAACCACTTGGAAGTATGCCTTATAAAATAGAATAACCCACCAGGTGGTGGCGGCGCACACCTTTAATCTCAGCACTCGGGAGGCAGAGGCGGGCAATTGCTGAGTTTGAGGCCACTGGTCTACAAAGTGAGTTCCAGGATACCCAAGGCTATTACACAGAGAAAGCCTGTCTCTGAAAAACCAACAAGCCACCCCCACAAACTAAACAAAAGACCGTTTCTTCCTATGACAAACACAGCCTCACACTTATTCATATTCATTACCCCAAGTTTCATGACTGTTTCTACTGATCTGAGCTGCTACTGCTAGATCTAGTCATGGACCGCCCTAGTGACGTCATGGCCAACCACATGCTGCAAGGACAACAGTGGTTCTGAGATGTTCCCACTGTCAGCCCAGTGTCAGGGCTGCCCCAACATATTAACTTGTTACTTAGGTTCTGCGATGATGCTGTAATAAAAATCAAATCTATTGTGTGACCAGATGTATAAGAAGTATATATAGCATAGGCAATTTTATATGTACTATAGATGTAATATAAACATAAGTAACCATTTATGTACTTTTTTGTTAGGGTATTCCTGTGACTTTAAAAAGCTGTGTAAAGGGCTGGAGAGATGGCTCAGAGGTTAAGAGCACTGGCTGCTCTTCCAGAGGTCCTGAGTTCAATTCCCAGCAACCCACATGGTGGCTCACAGCCATCTGTAATGAGATCTGGTGCCCTCTTCTGGCCTGCAGGCATACATGGAGGCTGAACACTGTGTACATAATAAATAAATAAATACATCTTTAAAAAAAAAAAGCTGTGTAAAACAGTATGTTGAATTCTGCCCACAGCAACCTTGTACATCAGCATCTCTTGTTTCTATGGTAAAATATAACATATATATGAAATATACATACATATATACACACATATATATATATACATATAAAACATAACATAGCCTAATCATTCAAGCAATGTAAGGCTAGAATCAATGGTAATTTTTAGTTGACACAATCCTAGGATTTTAAAAAATCTGAGTCTAAAACTTCCATGCTTTAAGTTCCTTTCCTGTGTTTGTTGCTAAAGATCCAACCCAAAGCCTCACATACACTAAAAAGTACTTAACCTCCTAATGAGCTGCACCCCAGCCAGTATTTCTTAGTATCTCATTAAGCTCGAACACACATTTAATGTTAATTTTGCTACTATTTAGATCTAGTTCAGTACTTGCAAACTCCTGGATTTTCCATAGACACTGCGCCTCTTCCTTCACGAATCTACTGAGTGCATGCGAACAGAGCGCTCACTCAGGGTGTACTTCTACGGTCTTTCCTCTTAGTCTGGAGACCCTTTCCTAGTTAACTCCCACTTTAAAATGATGAACCGAGTAGTCCACGCTGGCTACGACTTGACTGAGATGTTTCTGCCTCACCCTCCCGAGTGCTTGGTCAGGAGACTTGAGGTTTTAGGAGTGGTCTTTGTCAAGGAAGTTCTTTACTCTGTGTAAGAATCTATTTCTATTCCCTTTTGTCCATGTGAGTGTGTGTGAACGTGTGTGCCTACAGGCCTTGAGGATGCTGTCAGGTTTCTCAGCGCCACGCAGTAATAAACATGCATATATAGCACACACAGTACATAGACATATGCATAGGCGCAACCCTCATACACATAAAAATAAAATCTAAAAAATCATTTAAAAAAATTCTACAAGGCTGCCAAGCATGGTAGCACATGCCTGCATACCCCAGCACTCAGGAGGCTGCAGCAGCAGGATCTGGAGCCTTGGCTACACAGCAAGATCAGCCCAACCCAGCCCAGCTGAAAACTTCGTAGGTATGTAAGCATGGCGCCTCTCTTTCTTCACCGTTAGTAGGCTTAACCAAATGACTTACCATTTCTTCTTCTTGGGGACTGGTTTTTACTAAAAGACAGGCTAGCTTCCAACTCACTGTATAGTTGAGAATATAACCTTACACTTCTGATGCCTCTGCCTTCATCATGAGGTTCTGGAGACTGAACCTAGGGCCAGGTGCAGGCTGGGTAGCCACTACCATTTCAGCTCTGGCCCAACCCTTCTCGCCTTTAAAAAGAGGGAATTAACCCTTTGAGTTTAACAACACAAGCATCTATATGCCAAGCAACATTAAGTTTTGAAGGCATACTATGAATAAAATCTTATGCTCTTAAAAAGCAAGTTATGGATGTGTACACAGATCAAGATAAATACAAAACGTTGTTAGATGTTAAACTTCTGGTCCTGATGTAAAGTAAACAAATCTCCACAAACTCCACTCCATACAGACAGAGACCAAGGCTTAAAATATCACAAACAGATATGTTCATAGCAAGGCATGGCTGTACATGCCCACATTCCTAACAGTCACAAGACTGTGGTGGGGATGAGGAACAAGACCAGCCCAGCTTGCATAGTGAGTTTTAGGCCTGCCTCAGCTACCTTGTGAGATCTTCACTCACAAACAAATGAGGAAAGTCACCAATAGTTGCCAGAGAAGCAGGTGTCCAAAGTAAAAAGCATGCTGTCTTTCTCATACACCTCCCAGGTCTGACTTATAAAGAAGTTACTAGTCTGTACTGTGCAGGGTTGTTCTGCTGCATGTATGCCCGCAGGTGTCTGGTGCTTGAGGAGAGCAAAAGCGGGCACTGGATTCCCTGAACTGGAGCTACAGATAGGTGCTGGACTTGAACCTAGGTCTTCTAGTAGAACAGGCTCTGCTCTTAACTGCTAAGTGACCTCTCCAGCCCTTGGGTGACTTTTCTTTCTTTCTTTCTTTCTTTCTCTCTCTCTTTTTTTTTAATTTGGTTTTTCGAGACAGGTTTTCTCTGTAGCTTTGGAGCTTGTCCTGGAACTAGCTCTTGTAGACCAGGCTGGCCTCGAACTCACAGAGATCCGCTTGCCTCACTTCCTGAGTGCTGGGATTAAAGGCGTGCGCCACCGCTGCCCGGCTGACATTTCTAAAAAAAAAAAAAAAAGCAAGCAAGCAGGGCTGTGGTGGCGCACGCCTTTAATCCCAGCACTTGGGAGGCAGAGGCAGGCAGATCTCTGTGAGTTCGAGACCAGCCTGGTCTACAAGAGCTAGTTCCAGGACAGGCTCCAAAACCGCAGAGAAACCCTGTCTCGAAAAACAAAAAAAAAAAAAAAAAAAAGCAAGTTATGAACCTCTTTCCTTTTTTTTTTTTGTTTAACCTGAAAATACTACCTTTTCTGCTTCTGTTGAGACACTGTTTCACCATGTATCCAGACTGACTATAAACTCACAATCTACCTGGCTCAACCTTCTGGAAGCAGAGGTATATATGTGTCCTACCAAGTGTGTGAAAAATGTAACACTTAAAACTTTTTTTTTTAAATATTTATTTATTTGTTATGTATACAATATTCTGTCTGTGTATATGTCTGCAGGCCAGAAGAAGGCACCAGACCTCATTACAGATGGTTGTGAGCCACCATGTGGTTGCTGGGAATTGAACTCAGGACCTTTGGAAGAGCAGGCAATGCTCTTAACCACTGAGCCATCTCTCCAGCCCCCAACACTTAAAACTTTAAACCAACTTTCAACCACGTAAGTGACCACCCTGCTATATCCACACAATGGATTTACGTTCAGCCATTATAGGGAATGCAAACTACTACTGACGGCGTACTAATAAAGACACCTTGAAACTAAACTGAACATCTGGAAGAGGTAACTTTTATACATTCACTATTACATCTCGATTTTTAAAACTTGAGGAAAACTTTCTGAAACTAACTGTGAAACACTGCTGCAACTGGTAAGACCAGAAAACCGCAATCCTTGGTCCTACTGGATTACTTTTCTCAAATGTAAGCACTCCTTCTCATTTGACCTAATTCTTTTCTATTTTGTTGTTGTTGTTTTTTGAGACAGGGTTTCTGTGTTCTGGAGCTCTATCTGTAGCCCAGGCTGGCCTCAGACTCAAAAGATCTACCTGCGTCTGTGTGAAGGTCTGGCTCACTGAGCACAATCCTAACATATGTCATTTCCACATCCAAGGTTAACATCAGGCCTTCAACAACATGGTGGGAATGTCGGTTACCAGGCCAGTGGGTAAAAGTGCGTGCTACCAGCCTGACGACCTGAGCGCTACTCCTGCACCACACGGTAAGAGAGCCAACTCCCCAACACTGTGGCACACATTCAGTGGCACGCACACTATAGACATACTTGGTACACGTGCGTGTAAACTACACAATAGAGTGGGTGTGGAGGCCAGAGATTGGCATCAGGTGTACTCTGTGGTTTTTCAGACAAGGTCTCTCACTGAACTAGAGCCCACCTATCAAGCTAGGCTGGCTAGCCAGGCAAGCCCTAGGAGTCTGTCTCCAGCTCCCCATGTCTGGCTTTTTACCTGGGTATTAGGAGTCTAAACTCAGGTAGGTCCTCATGGCAAGTACTGTGCCCACCGAACTATCTCCCAGGCCCAGCAATATTTTGTGAGCAATTCAAATACGTTTTTACTGCTTGTCTGTAAATCATGTGAACAATTACTATTTTATCACTGTTAATGACAAATGATATCACTTCTTTTAAAGCCTGCGAATGGTCATTGAGCGACTCATCACTGTGTTTTCCAAGAGCAGCTATGCTCACCACGTACTCAGCTTCAGGCAAATGTGACAGCTGTTCCAGCACCAGTCACTGTGCAGTGTGTGGAACTGCTGCCTCCTCGTCTCCAGCAGTGAACTCCCAAGACATTTCATGAAAGCGGATATCCACTAGCCACCTCAAGCATAATGTGAGGGCCTAGGTGCAGATCCCTAGAGCCCTCGGAGAGCTAGACTTGCAGCGCATGCTCCCTGAAACCACAGGCTCCTACAGCAGGATGGGAGGTGGGGTTCCACAAAGCTGGCAGGCCCACCTGCTATAAACCGCAGCAGTCTCAC